AAAATTATTTTTTCTATTTCTGGATCTTGAATTTTTGTTAAATAAAGAAAATTTAGAAATATAGACTAAAAATGAGAGCCTGGAATAGAAATATATGGTGGTCTATATTGGTCTAATCATTTTTTCTCAATTTACCTTAATTTTCCTCTCAATTTCTCAATTTTTTCATCTCAATTTTTGTCTATTCCCGGCTCTTGTTTATTCTCTTCAGAGCTTCTTCGCCAAAAATTTTGATCTTAATTTGCTTCAAATTTCCACTCCGATTCTCAATTTTTTCATCTGAATTTTAGTCTATTTCTGGCTCTTGATTTTATTTTATTTTTTACTTCTAAACTTCTTTTAAAAAAGAAAATTTCAAAAAACAAGGCATAAAGACGAGAGCCTGGAATAGAAATTCATGTGTCAATACTTTTGTAATATTTTTTTTTTTTTTTTCAATTTTCCTTAAATTTCCTTTCCTTTTCTGGCATTTCCTAATTTTTTCGGCTGTTTCTCTGATTTTTGAGTTTCTGTTTCCTTCTAAACTTCTTTATCCAACATTTTTTTCTAAATATTTCTCAAGTTTCTTCCAAATTTCTTAATTTTTCAGTCCAAACTTTTAGCTAAGCCAAACTAACCCAAAGAGCCTAAAGGGCGAAATGCCGAAATATATGTGGCCAAATTTAATTAAAATGTGCCCTCAAGTACGTAGGTACAACCACTACAACCTACATTATGGTTATTTAAAATCTATTAATAATGGGACATTTATTTTAAGTTCAACCATTTTTTTGATCGAATTATAAGATTTATAGATTGCCATTATAGTTATTAATGATACTAGTTCGATAGGAACACCATAATGAAACGCGTGTAACGTTAAACCACGAGGCGTTAGCCGAGTGGTTTAGTTACACAAGTCTCATTAATGAAGTTCATATCGAACGTGTATCATTCAAAATTTAATCTACTATGGTCCAAATAGATTTGATTTGCCTTGAAACAGCAAAAACTTTTCAAATTAAAATTCCAAATTTAGCAGGTGCCCGTACTAGTCGGGAACCTGCTTGTTGATTTTTAGAATTTTGACTTTGGCAGCTTCAATATTGGAGTCAATTTTTGTGCCATAAATTCAATTTTATAGTGGAAAATAATATTATTATTGGTGATTCTGAGTTCGAAAGTGTCTCTTCGAATATAGAGACAGCATTATTGAAAAGGTTCTTCTGGCAACTAACTTTCTTTTTGTATATTTTTCATTTCAAAATTTGGGTGTTATTATGAATTCTTAAACGCACTAGTGCTATTATGAAGGACCTAATGACATTCAAATGACAATGCTTAATGTGTCATAATGACACCGACGTAGATTAAATACATTATATTATCAGGTTTATTGGCAAGAATACAAAAACCTATACATATACAGGGTAGTCAAGACAAGCGCGCCTTGGTCAATAGTAGCCAACCATTGAACTGATGAAAAAATGTTCTATATAAAAGTTTTAACATTTCATCTCTGCTATAACCCAGAATTATTTTCAAGTATACAGGGTGTCTCAAAAAAGAGTAATCACAAATTTTATGTTTTTTTTTAAAAGGAATACCGTATGTTTTTATGTGGCAAATGAAGCCTCTATATGCTCTGTATTCAACTTTAAAATCCTATTTGGGTTGAATGCAGCGTTGCCAAGTTATGATTTTTCGAAGAAAAAAATAGACCAAAACTTACTTTTTTAAAATTGTCATATCTCCGCCACTGTACATTAATTTTTCTTAAAAATTTACATGCAATCTAATGTTAGCCTAGTTGCTCGTACATTATCTTCATTTTTCGATTAAAGTATACAGGGTGTCCAAAATATTTGTTTAAACATGTCAATTTTAAAGTCCATTTTAATTGATTTTTTCAAATACAATTCCCCCGGAAAAATTTCCAGGTAAAACTACCAAATTACTTTACTTTTTACCGTTTTTTGTACCATGCGTTCAATTTATCTTGATAACATTTTAATTCGCTGTAACTTTTTTGTTTTTGAAGGTATCAAGGTAAATAAAAAAATAAAATGTAGGGTTAGTAGCCAAGTTTTTTTTCAAGTTACCTATAAAACAAAACACTATCAATTTTCTGACATATGAGCCAACATTATATTTTTTAAATGGAACACCCTGTATATTAGATATGTGTTTGATAGAATATCTTATTCCGATTACAATGATATAATACACTCCATATTTTAGTCCACTCGTTTTTGACAAATCGGCAAAAATATATGAAACTTTTGAAGTGAAACTTATTAGGCGGCGATCTGATATTTGGGGAGAGAATCTTTTTTTTTTTTTTTTTTTTTATTGGTACATCTTACAAACATCAAATAATATTGATAACAACATGCAAGAGATGCCTTAAATCTAATAAAATCTACTGCCTAGAGCTTACACTACTACAGCTATCACAGCTATTACAAACACTACAAATTAAAAAAAAGTATAAAACAAGATAAATGGTTAACAAACAACAATAATACACCTATATAACGCTCTGTGTAGTTAACAACATTAGTAAAGTTCGAAAAGGGATTTAAGTTTTTCAACATCCACATTGCACATGTCAATATCATGCTTATTAATTAGTATATTGCACTTATGCTGCATTGACATGATTAGAGACCAATCAGACATATCACAGTGAAACAGATTAGCATTACTTATACGTAAATTTATCTTAGGAACATGGAATTTTATATAGTTAATGAAGGAACATGATTTATACTTAATATTATTGACTACATAATATATAAATAACACAGAATTCAGTCTACGCCTTATTTCTAGTGATTGAATATTAAAGATGTTAAGCATACTTTTATAAGATACAAGATGGGGATATATATTATACTTCTTATGGTATAGATATCTGAGGAAACGCTTTTGAACCTTCTCAATTTTATTGATGTTGCATTCTGCCTCTGGTGACCAAACTACACTGGCATATTCAAGGTGGGATCTAACTAATGCGTTGTATAATCTTATGACTGTATCAACATGTTTAAAGTGTTTCGTATTTCTGATGACAAAACCTAAAGCACGGTAAGCTTTACTGATGACATAATGGTAATGATCATTAAATTTCAGGTTGCTTTGAAAATTAATCCCTAGATCCTTACATTTATCCTTTCTTTGCAGTGGTACATTATTTATTGTATATGTGGTATTTATAAAATTAATTTTTCGGGTATAAGTAATGACCAGACACTTATTGATATTAAGTATCATATTGGGGTCCAGAAACCAACAAGCCACAGAATCCAGGTCATCCTGCAACTTTATACAATCCTCTTGACAAGTTATCGTTTGAAAAATTTTGAAATCGTCAGCAAAAATTAAGCTTTCAGAGTAATTAATACAATCAGGCAAATCATTTAAAAATATTGAAAAGCAAGGGACCAAGGTTACTACCTTGCGGTACCCCTGATGTGACTGAAAAAAAGTCAGAGTGGCAGCTTTCTATTTTGACAGTCTGTGACCAGCCGTTTAAGTAAGAATTAATGAGTTGACAAGCATTACTGGAGAAATCAAACTTTCCCAACCTAGAGACCAATAGATTGTGGTTTATTTTATCGAAGGCCTTGGCACAGTCGGTCATTATTACATCAACTTGATGCTTTTTATTTACTGCTTCCATGGCAAAGGAAGTCAGTGTGCATAGGTTTGACACTGTTGATCTATCAGGCAAAAAACCGTGCTGCTTAACAGAGAAGTGATTACAAAAACTGGACATGATATTGTTATATAAGATTTTTTCATAGATCTTTGCAATAGCATTTAAGATACTGATTGGTCTGTAGATCTCGACTTTAGTGTTGGAACCGGATTTAAAAATGGGTGGAATCATTGATAGTGCATATAAAAATATCATATTTTTGACGATTTGTCAAAAACGAGTGGACTAAAATATAAAGTGTGTTATATCATTGTAATCGAAATAAGATATTCTATCAAACGCATATATAATATACAGGGTGTTCCATTTGAAAAAATATAATGTAGGCTCATATGTCATAAAATTCATAGTGTTTTGTTTTATAGGTACCTTGAAAAAAAACTTGGCTACCAACCCTACATTTTGTTTTTTTGTTCACCTTGATACCTTCAAAAACAAAAAAGTTACAGCAAATTAAAATGTTATCAAGATAAATTGAATGCACGGTACAAAGTTAAGGGAAAATCTTAATATCTCAAAATATTAATGAGATAGATACGGCAAATACGATTTTTTCTGAAAGAGGACATTTTCAGCTTTTCGATAGAAAAATAATATACGGGGTATTGTATTTGAAAATCTCAAATACACTGGACTTTAAAATTGATGTGTTTAGATAAATATTTTGGACACCCTGTACACTTACTTAAATCGAAAAATGAAGATAATGTAGGAGCAACCAGGCTAAAATTAGATTACATGTAAATTTGTGATTACTCTTTTTTGAGACACCCTGTATACTTGAAAATAATTTTGGGTTATAGCAGAGATGAAATGCTATAACTTTTATACAGAACATATTTCCATAAGTTCAACGGTTCGGCTACTATTGACCGAGGCGCGCTTGTTGGACTAACCTGTGTAATAAAGCAACTAAATATTATAAATTAAAAATATGTTATGCTATTTGAGTTTGAACATTTTTGAGAGCGTCAAAACCACGATTGAGACTGAGCGTTTTGATTCGAAACCACGTATACATTGCTTGAGACTTCCAAATAGAAATTTTCTAAGATAAAGATATATAATAAATATACTTTTTTTCGACTTCCTTTGAACTTCCTTAAATCTCCCTTAACAATAAAGATTGTTCAAAGTTTACCATGTGTTTCTTTTTTGTTCTTTGTTGAAATAAATTGAATTTTTAGTATGTCCTGCTCTAATATAAAAATAGTACCAAAAAATTTCATATTTGCGCATCGTGAAATTACTCAATTCTCAATTTATGGAAGGTTTGGTATATTGGAAAATTACTTACTTATAAACAGCCCTTTTATCAGCTTCAAATTGAGCCTGATCAGTGTCGGGGGGCGTAAAAGTAGTGGCGGGTGCTGCGGGATGGCTTACAGGATCACCTAAAGGTGGTACTGAGGCTGTAGGCGCCGGTACGCTTAGCATCGTGCCGGCGCTGATCGTCGGGACGCCTTATGAGTGTGATGGTCACCTACAACAAAACACGTAATGAAAATTCGTATTCGAAAACTCCTCTAAGAAAATTTATCGGTTTTTATTTTAATATTCCCCAAAATTGACACTAACAAAGTCATTTGGATGCAATCCGTCTCCGAAAGTTTCCCTAGGGCCGCTGTACAGTCTGTCGTCTTTTTTGAATCGGAGGAAGGGTCTTTTTGGCTCTTCTCTTTTTAACATTCGACGTGTGATCGTCCACAATTTAGTGTATTTATTATTTTATTTTGTGAGGACCGGATTTAGATATAAATGCCCTAATTGCCTCCGCAAATGTTTATTTAAATTTGTTCACAAAGTCATGTATTATTAAGGTAAAGGTAGTTAAATGCGGTAAGTCAAAGGGTACCTAATTTAGATAAGATAACAAATGTTTGTTAGGTAGTATGTATTTTTATCCGCTTTATCAAAGGATTACAAAAACCGCTACCCAGCTTTATGGCATGACGGCTTATCGTCAATTAATTACAAAATACCAACAAAAAAATTCCTCAGTGATTAACCGTGCACTAAAATTGGACCAAAACAATGTCAATAAATAGCTTCTCTTTGAGAGTAATGTATACCAAATAACCAAGCCAATTGGGGGCCGATATAATTAAAAACCCTAAAAAAGTAATTAGAACAGAGAAACACTACTCTGGAAGGGGCTAATTTAAGACGGGAAGTACGAGAAATAACCATTAAAAGGCGCTTCCTTAAATTAAATTTGGCCAATTTGGCTTCCTTAACGATATTATGATTGCAAACTTGTGTTCGTGGAATAGAGCGCATAAAAAAAAAATACAACTTTTTTTTCAAAAAAGTTCCCATAGGAAACCTTCCGGATCTCGAATTCGCTTTTGGTGCCACGACAGCAGAAATCTTAAATAAGTCCCAACGTTGCCATTCATTCACGAAGATAAAAAACACTCGGTGGTAGTGGTGGAGGAGGTCCGACAGTATTTGGTTAAAATTAATAAAAGAACGGAATGGATATAGGGCGGAGTTATAGGGTGGGCAACTGAAACCTGAAACGAAGTTTTCGAATTTAAGATTTTAATGTAATGTAATTTTTGTATGAATGTAGAAAATAACACAGAGATTTTCAAACTTTATCATTAGCATACGTTGGTCATGAACTTATTTTTTTGTGTGTTCTTTTCTTTCTAATCCAATCTTTCGTCTTGAGATTTTCTCCTAGGGTGTTTGTTTAGTCCTTCATTCTTTCAATTAGGACTCTTAATAAACCCCTTGTCAGGCACCAAGGTGAAAAGTTTCGGAGAGATAATCTCCCACTTTCCATTTTGACTTCCTGAATTGTTCGTAAAGTTTTATCTGTATTGTCGTCGATTCTTTGCTCTTTACTTAAGATATTAGATAAGAGATCTGTTTGAATGGAGATGTCGCAGCGACGTCCTCTACCACGGAAACTTTGTCAGATTTATTGTGGTGTCTTGTATTTGTCCTTAAGGGTGCGTTCTCTAAGCCTGTCTTTTTTATTAGACAAAGCCTGCATCTTTCCAGGGAAATTTTAGCCTTCTGGACAACTTTATATGGACCCCAGGTCATCTTTTGGTCAGAAATGACTCCTAGATATTTGACCTCATTTGAGAAGGGAATTCCACTCCGTTAAGCTTAGGACATTGAAGCTCTCTTAAGTGCTCTTTTCTTTGTGAATGGGACAACAACGGTTTTCTGCGGATTAACCGAGGATCCTGCCTCCCTGCACCAGTTATCTACTATGTTCAATGCTTGGGTTCTTTCTGAGACATGATCTAGATGCCTGCCTCTACCAGGAGTACCAGGACTATATCGTCCGCATAGCCGGAGGCATTTTTTGCCAAAAGATCGTCGATCAGGACCGCCCAGTATAATTGCGATAAAAGTACGCCTCTCTGTGGGCAGCCATTTCTTACTATTGCTTCTATTATGTGATTACCCTGTATCTTAAGTTGGCTTCTATCCAGTTACATATGGTATGCGGAGTGTTCCTACGCGAGAGTGCGTTTTGTCGAGAAACGTGCCTTTGTCATCAATTGACTTTGCCAGAAATCTGTTTAGATCGTCCAGTGCGAAGTATGTGGACTTTTCTTGGTAGGTTTCCTAGAGAATAGAGTGTTGTGTGTGGTCTCTGATGTATCTACCCACAATTTTTTCCAGCGTTTTGAGCAGGAACGAGGATAAACACATTCCTCAAAATATAATTTCTCAGCAATATCTCAAGATATACCTATTTTCGATTTTATTTTCTAGCGGATTAGTTATTATTTTGAAGAACACTTTACATGGCGTTTCTGATCTTTCTGACATTCTCCCTTCTAATGTGCATCCATTAAATAGTTTGCAAAATCTATCTTTTGTAGTTTAGACACATTCTTTCTTCAAGTTCAATGTCAGGTATTTCTACATATGTAAGTCGTTGAAATTTTTTGTTGCATGTTCAGATTTTTCGTCTTCTCTAATAATGTTTTCGTTGTTGATTTTTACTCTACTGTGGGAGCACGAAACTCGATCACTCGAATTGCAAATTGATCGAAATGTCACTCACAAAATTATAGGACTCGATTATTTGATTGTTTTGTGATTGAGTTTGGTGCTCCCACGGTTGGCATATACATAATAACTGAGTTTCTTCCAGTATAGTGATTATTTCCATTTCTCAATTTCACTATTTCTTTTTTCGGCCAGTTTCTTCTCAATGCAGCAATCCCTCTATTTTGCTCAATAAGTTTGTTCAGTTTGAAGACATTTTATGTCTTGCTTTACCATTTTTCTTGATGTTTTATTTTTCTCTGTATCCTAAAATAATTTGGTTAGTTTATCTTCAGAATTAAAGCCCCGATGTTCAGATCAGAAAAATCAAAAGTATGAGTTTTTGGATAATCTGCCCAAAACTTGGCTGTAAATTTTTATTCAGCAAACAGATGATAAGTCTGTGAAGTATGAATTACCTAACAAAATTAAATTCTTTGTTTTGCCGAACAAATATTGTAAATACAGAGATATACGAAAACAATGTCCTATTATTATTTGTAACATCCCTGGTTATGAAAACTAATATGACATAAAAAAATTAAAAATTCCAACAACTTTTCAGGCAGAAAATCAAGGTTTGAAGGAAGAGGACCCAAACCCGTGAATGGTTGGCACCCTAATTTGTAGCACCCTCAACTTTTACATGAGTTCTTGCCTTTTTGGAAAGAGTTCTATAGTTCTCGGAGGGTTGCAGTAATGGTTCTACAATGGAAGTTGAAATTTTTTGAAAAACAAAGTAGGTTTACTAACTTCATGCCGCAGCCTTAATCGATTTTACAGTAGTTCTGATGACATTTCTTGGTCTACGCAGACTTTCCAAAGTAGTTGAAGGAAGACTGTGTTGTTCAATATTCGATTAAATTTTCTCAATTCTAATATTTCGTTAGGTATACCTTCCCAAAGAAAACTCAAATAAACAACATATTTACAGACTTAACGTTGAAAAAAAGATATCTAGTTTGTCGCCAGAATTTCTTGGTTTTCGAGAAGCACCTCCGAGCTCTAGCTATACAAAGATATTTTTAATAAAAAAATATTAAAATACCGGATAGAGCTTTTCAGAACTCCGAAAAAAAAACAAGAGATAGAACGTTTTGGCTACAAGAGGAATCATATACAGCTTTGATGCTGAGAACTGTTGTTGTTCTGAGTAGCACCACTGAGCTTCATCAAGTGATTTTTAATAGAAGAATATTAAAATACCAAATGGTGCTAGTCAGAACTCTGAAAAAAACCTATAGAGAATTAACGTTTTGGCTACACGAAAAATCAAATACAGCTTTGATGATGCGGAAATCTGTTGTTGTCTAAGTAGCACCCCTGAGCTCTAGCTTTGAAATAGTTATTTTCGAAGCTAAAACGCAGGGGTGGTACTCAGAAAACAACTGTATTCGATTTCTCTTGTAGCCAAAACGTTGATTCTCTATAGGTTTTTTTCATAATTCTGACTAGCACTCTATAGTATATTGATTTTCTTCTATCAAAAATTACTTTTCGAAGCTAAAACTCACGGGTGCTAGTAGAATAGCAGGAGTTCTAGGCATCGAAACGGAATTTGATTGTTCTAAGACCGAAATGCGCATTCTCTGTAGGCTTTCTTCATAGTTCTAAGCACAATGCGTCCACCAGCAAATTAGATCTAAACGCAGTCGGTGTCATTGATAACGAGCAACGGATTTAGTTTTGGATCAGCTCGAGGATCAGCTCTATAGTATTTTGAATTTCTTTTATTGAAAAATACTTTTCAGCAGCAAGAACTCAGTGGTGCTACTCGAAAACTAAGAGTTTCTGGCGACAAACTAGAAATTTTTCTTTCAATGTTAGTCTCAAGTCTGTAAATATTTTTTTTATTTGGTTCGTCAGTAGGTTTTTTTTGGGAAGGTCTACCTAACGAAATATTAGAACAGAGAAAATTTAATCGAATATTGAAAAATACATTCTTCCTTCAACTACTTTGGAAAGTCTGCCTCATTTAAAAAGTAGAATTCTGCTTTTTTGTTGTTTTTTTTTCAGAACTTTATCTATAATTTATCAAAAACTATAGAACTATTATAGTGTGTAGACCAAGAAATGTCATCAGAACTCCTCTAAAATCATCCAAGGGTGCGGCATGAAGTTAGCACCCCTATTTTGGTTTTTCAAAAAATTCCAACTTCTACTGCAGAACTATAACTGCAGTCCTCTGAGAATTATGGAACTATAGTACGTAGAATCATCAGAACTCTAGAATCAATTAGGGTCTGGCATGAAGTTAGCACCCCTCTTTTGGTTTTTCAAAAATTTCCAACTTCTACTGCAGAACTATAACTGCAGCCCTCTGAGAATTATGGAACTATAGTACAAGGTGATCTATTATAAATGTAACCCCCTGCTAACTTTTTCATTTGACGTTTTTGACAGAAGTGTCAAATACAAAAGTTTCAAGAAATTGTCAAAAGTTTTTAACTAAGTCAGTTTTAG